TTTAACATGAAACCTAGGGGACTATGAGGGGGTATATCCTTGTTACTACTTTTATCCTTCTTACTCTCCATCTTTCTTGGGGTATTTCCTATATTGGGTCTTAGCTAGGCCCAATCCCTCATATTAGGGATTTCTTGCCTACTAGAGGCTTGCTGTGGCTCCGTCCCTCATATTAGGGATTTTTTTTTTTTTTTCTATCTGGAGCTTTCTGTGGCTCAATCCCTCGTATTAGGGATTTCTTGCCTATCTTTTAGCCCCACCTCGTGGAGGCTCTTCACACTCTTCTCCTTTCACTTCATCCACTCTGCCCGCTTTCCTCCTGGGAATATTTCAAGGCCCGCTTAGCACTGGCAGGACTATAACCCCAACCTCAGGATCCTTCCGAGAAGGCTAAGCCATATGAGGCAACCGCGGATCCGAAGATTGGATTCATTCACTCCGCACAGCAGTAGCGCTTGTTACCATTCATGGACTTTCAACCACCAGAATGTAATGACCACCAAGGAAGTACTTTGTCACTCCTGTGACATTTGTTACCTTGGTCTGCGCACAGAGTTACCTGGTCGCCATGGTGTTGCAAGCCTTTTTCTCCCCGCGTTGTTGAGAGTCAGGTTATTCATCACACAGGGTGGGTCTCAATTCCTTACTCGTGAGGCCACTGCAACAAGGCAGCAGGACACGTCTCCTCAGGAGAGGTGATCAAAGACCCTTTCCCAGAGAAGAATGTTTTCACCATATGGACCACCAAATGTGTTGGAAACAAATGCTCGGTGCTGCCAAGAAGAACTAGCACTGAGACAAAGGACAAAAGGTCTCTCAGCAAGGCAAATTTACTTTTGCAGAAGAGTTCCTGATGAGTCCAGTTGCCACAAGAGCACCCCGAACAAAGGAAAGCAGAGGTCTTTATCTCTAACGCAGCTTGTCCCTGCTAGGGGCCTGGAAAATGTAGACTTGGGTCCTCTACCTGAAGGTTTGGATTCTCTAAACTGGGTTTCGGAGGCTTAGGACCTTTTACAGTTTCTGGCTCCCTGGAAGCCTCATTTAGTAGTATATGGGTTTGGAGCCACCTGCTGGAAAGTAGATAACATCAGTTTTGCCTTCTATTTTTGTTTTTCCCTGTCCCTCCTCACATACACCTTTTGAGCTTCTCTGAGAAGTTCGCTTAGAGGTTGGTTTTCCCAGTCCTCCAATTTTTATAACTTTTTTGAAATGTCTGGCCAGCTTTTAGTGACAAAATAGATCTTTAACATCTTTTGCCCAAGGGGATCTACTAAATTCAGACCTGTATATTGCTTCATTTGTTCCTTTAGTCTGTCTAGGAATCTTTTAGGCCCCTTATCTTTCTCCCGTTGTATATCAAATGCTTTAGAGAGCTTTTGAGTTCAGGGTATGGATTCCCTGATTCCTTTTATTATTATTTTCCTTAGGTCCTGCATGTTTTCTCGGTGGGCTGCATTGTTATTGTCCCACTAGGAGTCTTGGGCAGGAAATTTTGGGTCCGCAGTAGGAAGGTTTTGACCGGGAGGGTGTTCACATTCCCAAATTGCCACAGCAGCCCTACAGATCGTGTTTCTTTCCTCCCCTGAAAAGAGGATGCCTAGGATAGACATTTGCTCGACCCAGGTGTTTAACTGCGGTCCTAAGAATTGATCAACTCGATCTGCCACATCATAGGGGTCATTGAGCAGTGGCTTAAGTTCTTTCTTCAGACCTCAGACTTCTGAACTAGTCAAGGGAGCATTTACAAAACCAGTGACTTCCCCTCCTTGTGGTACCCCTTTTAAAGGGAGGAAAGTTATAGCTGACTCCTTAGGTGTGGAAAGAAAAGGGAAGTTCTGAATGTTCTTTTTACACTGCTTTATTTCATGTTGGAGCGTTTTTAAGGAAGGATATTTACGTTGGCAGTGAACAGGCTTTTGGGACGACTGCCCCTGAGAGTCAGGGTTGTAAGCCAGGGGAACATCATGAGTTGGAGAAGAATCTGGGACGGGATCTGGGGCAGTGGCAGCTGCCTGAGGAGTGGGGGTGGTTAGGATTAGGGGCAATAAGTGGAGGAAGACAGTCTAAGGGATCGCATGTGCTGACTTTAGGTGTGGGAGTCGGCGTGTCTGACTTCTCAATTTGAGATGCCGTATTGGGTTCCTCCCTAGTTGTCTTTAAGGGAAAGACGAAGACAGGTCCCTGCCTCCAACAATGAGCATAGTCTAGTTCTTCTTGAGAAACCGGACTTTTATCATTAACATATTGGATTAGGAGTTGACACATTACATCCTCATTTGACCCATACGTTGGCCAGAAGATTGAGGGTTTGAGGATGGAACCTTGGGTCCAAATGAAGCAGCAATATTTTATAATTTGCTGCTTCTTCTTAGGCTTAGTCCTCTCATTATCTTTCCAATATTTTAACATGAAACCTAGGGGACTATGAGGGGGTATATCCTTGTTACTACTTTTATCCTTCTTACTCTCCATCTTTCTTGGGGTATTTCCTATATTGGGTCTTAGCTAGGCCCAATCCCTCATATTAGGGATTTCTTGCCTACTAGAGGCTTGCTGTGGCTCCGTCCCTCATATTAGGGATTTTTTTTTTTTTTTTCTATCTGGAGCTTTCTGTGGCTCAATCCCTCGTATTAGGGATTTCTTGCCTATCTTTTAGCCCCACCTCGTGGAGGCTCTTCACACTCTTCTCCTTTCACTTCATCCACTCTGCCCGCTTTCCTCCTGGGAATATTTCAAGGCCCGCTTAGCACTGGCAGGACTATAACCCCAACCTCAGGATCCTTCCGAGAAGGCTAAGCCATATGAGGCAACCGCGGATCCGAAGATTGGATTCATTCACTCCGCACAGCAGTAGCGCTTGTTACCATTCATGGACTTTCAACCACCAGAATGTAATGACCACCAAGGAAGTACTTTGTCACTCCTGTGACATTTGTTACCTTGGTCTGCGCACAGAGTTACCTGGTCGCCATGGTGTTGCAAGCCTTTTTCTCCCCGCGTTGTTGAGAGTCAGGTTATTCATCACACAGGGTGGGTCTCAATTCCTTACTCGTGAGGCCACTGCAACAAGGCAGCAGGACACGTCTCCTCAGGAGAGGTGATCAAAGACCCTTTCCCAGAGAAGAATGTTTTCACCATATGGACCACCAAATGTGTTGGAAACAAATGCTCGGTGCTGCCAAGAAGAACTAGCACTGAGACAAAGGACAAAAGGTCTCTCAGCAAGGCAAATTTACTTTTGCAGAAGAGTTCCTGATGAGTCCAGTTGCCACAAGAGCACCCCGAACAAAGGAAAGCAGAGGTCTTTATCTCTAACGCAGCTTGTCCCTGCTACTGTGTCCTGCCTCCATTGACTGGAGTTGTACCGCACGATCTAAGCTGAACCCGGTTGGCTAACTTGAAAAGTGCAGGAATGCGGTTACACTGTTGGGAAGGCAGGAAGATCAGTTTTGGTGGGAGAAGCCGTTCCCATGAGAGGGGTAATTCACAGAGTGGGTAGCAGATGTGGAATGTGGGCTATCTAGATAAGGATTGGCAGGAAGGTTGTTTACCAGGGTAGGGGGAACACAGAGAGTAAGGAAGTCTGGCCCTGAAAGCAGGGAACAAAGGACAAGGAAACTTAAGCAGGCTAAACTTTTGAAGAAGAATTTCTTACTGTACTTAACAATAATTTTAAACACTTACGTGGTTATTTCTAGTATTTCATGATAATTCACCTTTAGGAAATGGTATCTCAAACCCCAAAATGCCAGAAGGTTACCTGGAAGAGCACTGGTGTCTGAAAGCAGGACTGTAGCCGTGGGCATTGACGCACAGGCGCCGTCTGCCAGTTCATCTCTTACTAACAGATGCCAACTGTTCAGGCACTATTTGCTTCTATTAAAATAGTGTCTAGGCAGGGCGCGGTGGCTCACGCCTGTAATCGCAGTACTTTGGAAGCCCAAGACAGGCGGATCATGAGATCAAGAGATTGAGATCATCTTGGCCAACATGGTGGAACCTCATCTCTACTAAAAATACAAAAATTAGCTGGGCATGGCCGGGCACAGTAGCTCACGCCTGTAATCCCAGCACTTTGGGAGGCTGAGGCAGGCAGATCACAAGCTCAGGAGATCGAGACCATACTGGTTAACACAGTGAAACCCCATCTCTACTAAAAATACAAAAAATTAGCCGGGAGTGGTGGTGGGCACCTGTAGTCCCAGCTACTTGGGAGGCTGAGGCAGGAGAATGGCGTAAACCCAGGAGGCGGAGCGTGCAGTGAGCTGAGATCACGCCACTGCACTCCAGCCTGGGTGATGCAGTGAGACTCCGTCTCAAAAAATAAATGAATAAATAAATAAAATAAAAATTAGCTGGGCATGGTGGCACACGCCTGTAGTCCTAGCTACTCGGGAGGCTGAAGCAGGAGAATTGCTTGAACCGCGGAGGTGGAGGTTGCAATGAGCTGAGATCGTGCCACTGCACTCCATCCGGGTAACAGAGGGAGAATCCTTCTCTAAAAAAAAAAGTTTCTAGTCTTATTATTTCAACATTTCAAAAAGTCTTTGTATTGTTTAAGATCTAAGTGTCTTAATTAGATGTATCCCAGGTACTAGCGTATATCCCAGGTACTAGTCAATTAACTGTGTCATTCAAATGTGTTGCTACTAGTGTTTCTAATTATACATTTTTAAAGAGAAAAATGTCTGCTAATAAATATATTCAGAATGCCAGGAAGCCTACCACAGGAGCTGATGACATCCCTTACAAAGACAAAAATGTAACCTCAAGGAAAAAGACACTCCTGAGAGTAAATCTCATCTCCTGGGAAAGACAGCGCTGTCTTCTATGGATGCAGAAAAGGAGAAGATTTAACACACTAAGCCCTTTAGTTCACTATAGTTTAGCCCATTTGCCCGTTTCTTTGTTCTATTTCTGCTTCTCTACCGATGTACGCAAAGAAGACTGAAATAAAGAACCAGAGGAAAGCTTTGCAGGAGAGAACGCTGTGGACCCACCTCATCTTGGTTGGTCTTGCCTCTGGAAGAGCAGTGCTGTGGGCATCTCCTGGTCTTTTTATGCTGCCACCAGCTCACCTCTCCCCCTTCTCCATTTCGTAATTCCTGTGTCTACATAACTTTGGCCCTGACAAGGTCACTGTCTTTTCCAGTAACAAAACCACAAACATTACCCCTATTAAGAGTTGAGCTCTTGATTCACACTTGATTTTCCTGTGGTGTTCTTTTTTTTTTGTTTTTGTCTTTTTTCTTTTTTTTTTTTTGAGACACAGTTTCGCTCTTGTTGCCCAGGCTGGAGTACAACAGCGTGCTCTCAGCTCACCACAACTTCCACCTCTGAGGTTCAAGCAATTCTCCTGCCTCAGCCTCCCGAGTAGCTTGGATTACAGGCATATGCCACCATGTCTGGCTAATTTTTTGTATTTTTAGTAAAGACGAGGTTTCTCCATGTTGCTCTGACTGGTCTCAAACTCCCAACCTGAAGTGATCCGCCTGCCTCAGCCTACCAAAGTGTTGGGATTACAGGCGTGAGACACCGAGCCCAGAACCCTCCTGAGAGCTTTTGATCATCTTTCTCTCAAGTCCTGATTTGTATTTTTGATCCTATCTTAGTTGCTTTCCATTCCACAAGTATTTATTAAGTGCCTGCTGTGTGCCGTATCCTATGCTCACAGCTACATAAGTACAGATGGCTCCTTAGAGGAGGCAGTGTCTGCATGTTGAAGGAGAGTAGGAGGTGTTTATACAGCAAGGGGAAGGGAATTTCAGCAGAGGGGCCCCAAGAAAATAAAACCCAGGGGCTGGAGACGGCCAGGTGTGTCAGGGAACAACATGGAGTTTGGTGTTGCAGAAGCCCACAGGCTGAGGCCAGGAGGTGGTGCTGGGGAGGAAGGCAGAGAAGATGAGCCATCAAGAGAATGCCACAGCTTTTCTCTTACTGTTATTTTACCAGAGCCACTTACTGAATACGATCAGACAATTCTTTAAGAAAACTGGGGAATAGCTTGTTCTTCCAAGAAACTTGGTGCTGAAGAGAACTACAAGAGGAAAAGGTGTAAGTGACTGTGTTCTGAGAGGCTTTTTTTTAAGACGTATATTATTTTCCAGTTTGTGGCTATTATGTCTTTCACAGGTTCTAGAATATAGGTGTGTGTCTTATTGGCCTACTAGCGCTAACCTGTTGAAGTTTATTGATGAATCTGCAGGGCGCCTGTGAGGAGAGCTTCAGAGAGATGGCCAGACCCTGGTGAGAGAGAGTGACATCAGTGTCGTTTTACACCCTGCAAAGGAGGGGCCGTATTTTGGCATAAGAAGAAGGCACATTGGTGATTGGTGGTATTGAAGGCTTATAGCAAGAAAAAATTCATTAGAACAGCTTCTGTTTATCAGAGCTCCAGAACCTTTCTTCTGGGAGACCCTTGATAGCGTGACCTGCAATCAGGAGAGGAGGCTCAGCCAGCTTGCATTTGATTCCTGGCGAAGGGTGGGTTTGTTCCAAGTAGGAAAAGCAGCTTGTACTGAGGCAGGGACTCTACCTCCCACTCTTTACAGAGTCCCGGAAGGTTATTGCTGATAGGGACATTACTCTGGCTCAAGTCCTTCATGGAAGAGACCAGGAACTGATGGCCAGGAAGCCTAAATTACCTAGCAAATGTTTGGGCCAAGCTGTGATTTGGACCCAGCACATCCAGAGATCCTGCCTTTACATCATCGTCTTTTGTTTTCTGGAGTGCTGGTAGCTTAGATCCCAAACTCTGAAGTACTGTCTGTGTCAAAACACTTTCTCCCCATCCCACTTTGAACTAGCCTCTTCTCACCAGGCCACGCCTTTTCTCCTAATTCACTTTGAAGAGGCAACAGCATGCAGTGAAAAGAGCTCTGAGTTTGTATCAAACAGGGCTGGGTTCAAAGTTCTGCTTCAGTGTTTCATGGCTGTGTAACCTTAAGCAACTCACTTACCATCTCTGAGTCTCTGTTTCCTTCTCTGTAAAACAAGGACAACAGTTGCCTTTCTGGGGCCTAGCATTCAGTAGGCACTCAGTCAGTGAGCATGATTCCCTAAGGTGGAAGAGTTTGTATCACCTTCGGGGTTTCCAGTGGGTTTGGGGTGTTCTCTTCCATAATCCCAGTAGACTCTATACCTTCTGGCTACCCTGGACCATAAAGGAGTGAATAAAAAAGACTCAAGATTGTCAAAAGAAAGCTCTTTATTGATTGACTCAGCAACGCAGGGCTGGCACCCATCAGCTTCAAACCACATCTCATCCCGTCCACTCTTGTCCATTCCCGTCCACTTTGTCCTCTTCCAGGCTGGAATCTTGCTTTCAGGCAAGGGCTTCTGGCCAGCTTTGCATTAGTTCTCGGCTATGGTTTTCTGAACCCAGTCCTGGATGGAAGTCACCTTCACATACACACCATACTCAGCCACACCACAGCTCTTATCAAAGCTTAGGATCCCAGCCGCGTACCAGGTGTCCTTCTCCAGGTCATGAACGGCAAAGGCACTGCCCGCATCGCCATAGCAGGTGTCTTCCTGGTACTTAGACATGCCGGCACAGAAGGTGTGTTCATTCAGTATGGGCTGCACCCCTACAGGGCTCTTTGGTGTCTTCTTTTCGGGGACTGTGCTGCCTTCATAGTGCTTTATGCAATTGTATTGGTCAGCCACAGGCAGCATGACATACTTCAGATGGTCAGTAAAGTTAAAATTGGCATTTCGCCCCCAGCCAGACACGTAACCCACACGCCCTACTTCTCCATAATCCTTTGAAGGTAGGCAGATGGGCATCACTCTCTCATTAACAGGCACCTTCTGTTTGAGTTTGATGAGCCCAATATCTACCTGGGAGTAGTTAGGGTGTAGAACCACCTTCTCAATCTCTACAAGCTGCTTTTTCCCCACATAGAGTGTTAAAGTAGGGGCAATGTCTTTCGCTGTTGCATTTTCTGAATGGTTCAGGAAGAGATTTTTAGCCGTGGTCAGCAGCCATTGTTCATTGATCAGCGTGGCCCCTGTGGTGAGATTATGGCGGGAAACCATCTTAGCCTGCCAGGGAAAGCTGCCTTTGGCATCCAGGTGTCCACCCAGGATCCGCTGCACTGCGTCTGCCGGATTCTTGGGCTTCCCACACACTGTCAAGGAGAGCAAGACACTCGTGAGTGGAAATGTGCAAGGGCCTTTCCATCTGAGAAAGAGGGGTAAAAGCATGGGCGGCTGTCACTGCTGCGTAAACTAGAAAGAATTAAATGCTTTGCCCTTACTGCCTGCTCATCTCATTCCCAATAGTTGCAGTTTTAAAATAATTCTGTTTTTTTAATTGTTTACATTACAAAAAGCTCTATTTCCTACTTTTCTAACAAAGGAAATGGGAAATACTGAGATTTTTGAGCCCTGGCTGGTGAACTGTATTATATTTAAACAATTATCCCAACAAAGGAATTTCCACAATTCCCTGAAATTCATTGAAAGGGCTAGGAGCTACAATAATTCATTCTCTCTGAAGAAAGAAGAATCTAGAGCATCATTGACTGGAGCTCAGATTTTGTAGATAGTGCAGTTATTATGAGGCAGGTTGGGAGTTCCACACCAGTAAGAGCCGAAGAGGCTGAGCCTTTGCCTCTGGTTCCGAGAAGGAAAGGAGAGAACAACAGCTCCTGCTAATAACGAGAAGCAGCAGTCCCAGCCCACGTCCATTTTTAGGCTTCCGTGGATTAAGATTGTATGTCATCCCTTGACTTGTTCTCCCTGGAGCTTGCTTCTCTTTAGACCCAGGGCTCTCTAGCAGGTTCTCTGTATGCACAGGCTCTCCTGATCTGTGGGCAGTGTAGACAGTGGATTCAGCCAGTGCCCTTCAGGCCCCAATAAACAAGACCCTTGGTGACCTTTAGGGAGTCATCACCTAACTGCTTAAGTCTCTCCCTGGCCAGCTGCGGTTCTCCCACATCCCTCCTCCTGGCTCTTGTGTGCTCAGAGGAAGCCGCGCTGGAAGGCTGTGCCTCTAGGACGTTCCCACCCGGAAGTCTGCCTGCACTGGAAAGTGCTCAGCACCCACCTGCTTCACATTCAGGAAGTTTATCTCCAACAGCCTTATTTGTCCACTGCTTCTCATTGTTTAAGGTGTACACTCCTGAAACAAAAGGCAAGAAATGAGCCAAAGGAAAAGTCAAGTCTGCACCCCGAGCAGAGTGAGAAGGCATTTAAAGAGAAGAATTAAAAGGAAGAGGAAAAGGGGACAAATAGGAAGGGGAAAAGGAGAGAGAATATGAGGTGGAGGGAAAGAGTGCTGTGCTGGAAACCAAGTGCCTGGACTCCAGTTACGCCCAGCAGAACACACTGTGGTCATGTTGGTCACAGCCAGGCAGTACACGGAGGGCTCGGGGTTCAAATCCTGACTGTGTCTTACAGGCTGCCTGAATTTGGGCAAGAGACTCAACCTGTCTGTGCCTCTGTTTCCTTATCAGCAAAGTGAGAACAGTGACCTCTATTCAGAGGGATATTGTGAGGACTAAGTGAGCAAATAAATATGAAGCACTTAGAGCAGTGCCAGGACAGCAGGACTCACTAGGTGAGGGTGACCTGTCGTCATCAGCGTTCCTTCTTTTCCCACATCTCCCGCTGGAGATGGAAATCTGACTCTGAGATAGGTAGGCTGCATGGCATGGCCTCCCCTTAACAAAACAGAAAACTTGAGGCTGACAAAAGTTCGTCTGCCCAAAGGGCCACAGCTACTGACAACAAAATGCTTATTAGAATCTAAATCTCCTGGCTCCAAGGAGAGCAATGACCTTTCTGGCAAATCACCCCAGCACCGCCCATAGGGCATAGAGACAGTTGTCCACGTCTTACCATCTCCTTCTGTGCGCAGCCTGTAGTAGTTCTTACACTGGTAGCGAACCGAGTGCTCCACGTAGCCATTTGCGATCATGGGGGGCTTTGGGCAGCCGTCATCTGCAAAGAGAGAGAAGCAAGAGAGTTTACTATTTGGAAATTGTTCCCAGTGAACCATGAAAAGTCAGATGAGTGGAA